AAAGATAATCAATCAATCATGTGATTATGTAGCAATGAATGCTGAAAATCATGATCATATTTGAATTTTGATACCAACAACTTACGACACACGCGTTTTTTAATAGTTGAAAAGTATCGTATCAAACTTAAATTTTATTTCATAAACAATTTGTGATTTCATTTTGAAATTTATCCAGGGGCTCGACAGTCAATTTCAGCATCAACAATCAACAATAAACACCGAAAGACTTAAATTGTCTAACTTAATCGGACATAATTTTCCACTCTCATGACCGCCCAACACACAAACATTTCCAGAAAATTTTGGTGATTTTTTAATTATTTATTTTATTCTTTTTCTGAACTCTAGAACAGTGATCGACCGGGATCCCGGCCCCGGATACGGCCGGGACTTGTGTTTTTTCCCCGGCCCCGGCAAAACAATTTTCAAAATCCCGGCCAGAGGCCCCCAATCCCAGCCCGGCTTTTTGTCAATTTTTGCCGGGATTTCTCGTATTTTATGCCTCAATTTAAACCGATAGATTATCAGAATTTATTTTGATTTTTAGACTTAAATTAAACACCAACTTTTCGGTAACATGAGATCGAGTGAAACATATAAATACGCGGACTTGACATCATTCCAGTTTGATATTTAGAAAATTTCAACTTTGAATTTACATCTTGGTGACAGTTATATTACTATTATATACTATATTAATATATATATATATATTAATATAGGACCGTCGGCGCGTCCTGGTTAACGGGTGATACTAGTCTTAAAATATCTGTTCCATAGGCGCGCGTCCTGGTAGGTTGTAAACCTACAACGTCCTGGTTATCGCTCTTACTAAATCGCTCACCCAAATTTTAAGAAAATTCTTGTGAAAAGGCACTTTGGTTGTGAAATTGGTCTAAATCTGTGTATTTTTGGACGCTGATCACTGATTCCGAATCACCCCCCATGACGTAGGGTTAAAATGAATTCGATTGTGTAGGGCTCTGGTTATTGGTTAGGGTTGTGGTAAGGGTTATGGATAGCTTCGGGGTTATGCTCAGGGTTGGGTTTTGTAAATAGCTGAAAAACCATAGTCACGTGAAATTTTTGGGCGAGCGAATTAGTAAAACATAAAAGCCCTTGTTTTCTCTTTGGCATTTGGAATTTCGCCAGATCCTCTTAACCTACCACATGCCTCTGCTCTCAGTCTCAGTGCAAGCAGACCACATGTTCGAAGCTGACGTAGTCTGGTCCGGAACAGTTCAACTTGTCAGCACAGCTGTGTTCCGCATTTCCTCCCCACTGTAAAATTTTGCTAGCATCAAGACCAAGTGTGCAAGCTTGTAGGTTTACAACCTACCACTACCAGCAACCAGGACGCGCGCCGAGTTGGACTCGTCGACGGTCCAATATATGGAACAGATATTTTACGAGTATCACCCGTTAAGTGTGAGCCTGCCAGCTGTGTATGTCTGTGTGGGACTGGGACCCCTCCCCCCCCCCCCCCTGTCCTTTCTCTCTCCCTCCAGAACACAACTATTCACCTCTCTTGCCATCCTGGAACTTGCTGTAAACTGTATCTCTGCTCTGCGACTGCCGGTCATGTTAAATGTGTACCGCTCTAGTCACCAAGGCCATCTCCCTATACTTGGGTGGTTAACTCGCTGATTTTTCTTTACTGTGCTGCCTTCCCTGTGGGCGTCTTTTATATCGGCACAACTGTCTCGGGATTCGTTGCTCCGTGTACGCTTCATTTGGCTGGTCAACTGGAATACTGGGGTTGACGGTTGTTGTTCATTGTTCATGAGTCTATCTTTTGTACTGCTTCAAGGTCGAGCGTGCTAAATCACTCTACAGTCGATCTTCGAGATTGTTCTAAAAGGGCCCCCGACGGTTGTAACCAACTTCAATCGATGTATTTTCGGACGCTGATTCCGAATCACCCCCATGACATAGGGTTAAAATGCTCCCCTGACGAGATATTGGCGAAAAACTGTCTCGATCACGTGATATGACCGTATAAGGAAGTTAGTCTAATTTCTCGTTAGGGTTAGGGTTTCAGCATATGTTATTGTTAAGGATTGGGTTAGGGTTAGGGTTGGGATCAGATTAGAGGGTTAGGGTTTCAAAAAGTCGTTCAGAACCAGCTAGAGAATGGGTTGAAAAAGTCACGTGACAGTCGAGTGTAGAGTGATTAATCATCATCCCTTCAAGGTTAAGCACGAGGATTGACATACGTTGCATGCCCCTTTTCGCGCGCGAAGCGCGCGCCTCCGAAGGCATGATAACAGAAAAACCTGAGAAAGGAGCAAATCCTATATTATATAAAGTGTACGACTAGATTTCTAATTCCAATGTGGTTAGCGATTTCGAAAGTAGAAAGTTGGTGTGCTATCTCGCTTTCACTTAATCGCTCACCTCATTTTTAAAAATCTTCTGAGGGCATGTAAATGTACTAACTGATCTAGATCGGTATATTTATAAATGCTTCCCTGGAGAGTTATGGGTATCCGTATAGGGTTGTGGTTAGGCTGCGAAACCATAAAAACCAAAGTCACGTGATAATTTCAAGGCGAGCGAATTAATAAAAACCGTGCTATCTAGCATGTTCACTGAATTTGATAACCTTTATGTGAAAAAACAGGTCTTGCATAGATCAGATTTATTCGCTCCGTACTATTATTCACAACAGCATTGAGTTTAATCTCCCCCTTTACATAAATTTTGTTGACTTTAAAGCGGCATTCGATTCACTTAATCGGGAGTTTATCTGGAAAGCTTTCAGTCAATGTCATTATGGCTTGCCTTGTAAATACATTCGCATAATGCAAGCATTCTTTTGCGGCACCGTCAGCGCTGTCAGACATAATGGCGAGCTCTCTGAGTGGTTTGACGTTACATCTGGTTCTGGGCAGGGGGATATTCAGGGTCCACCTATCTTTAATGTTTGCATCAACCTGCCTGCGCAGCGGGCTGAGGATAACAAAGTGTTGTCACACGGGGCAGTGCTGCAGAGAGCTACCACCAGCTCTGGTCAGGATACAGTCGTCCTGGATACTGACTATGCAGATGATTTGGCTATCATGGACAACACCAAGGACGGTCTCCAGGAGACGACTGATCTTTTATGCAAGTATGCGGCTCAGGCTGGCCTCAGAATCAATGCGAAGAAAACAGAGGTTATGGCCATCGGCAAGAATACATCACAGAGGCCATATACTGAAGCATCAACAGTGGACATTACAGTAGGAGACACGGCTATCCAGCAAGTCAGCAACTTCACTTACCTTGGGTCGATTATATCAATAATCAAGTGATGGGACTATTGACCGGGACTTGTCTGCACGGATCCAGAAAGCCTCAGGAGCATTCAATCAGCTCGGTAATATTTGGAAGAATCGCAATATCCAAACTAACACCAAAATGCGGATATATGTTGCAGCGGTTCTAACAATATTACTTTATGGAAGCGAAGTCTGGAACACTACTTCAAAGCAACTACATCGCTTCGAAGTTTTTCATCAAAACTGTTTGAGGAGAATCCTTCGAATTAAGTGGTTCCACCGGACGAGCAATGTTCAAGTGTTGGAGCGGGCAAGAATAAACCCGGTTATAACGTTATAACCTACATCAGTGCCAACCGTCTTCGCTGGTTTGGACATGTTTCTAGAATGCCGGACACCAGGCTACCAAAGTATCTTTTTGATTGGACACCTGCTCACGGCCGAAGATCACGTGGGCGGCCAAGAAAGAATTGGCGAACCTGTGTCCTAGAAGACGCAGTAACATTCACAGGAGATCCAGACATTGTATTTGATAAGGTCCGAGAGTTGGCAGGATCGAAACCGAAAGCACTGGAGAGAGATGATACGACATAAGCGGCAATTCCTTGGTGCAGGCCACTCGAATGATTGAGGAGACCTTATCAAGTATCAAGTAAGTTATGTGAGATGTAATACTAATAAAATTGTAGCATACATTTATAACATGTTTATAGTCATTTTGTGTTATAATTTGTTAATAAATATTTTACCAAAACCCATAATAATATAATATTATAAATATAATTATAATCATGAAGGGAGGACCGCTGCCAGTGCAGTGTCTCCCTTTCCCGAACAAAAGAAGCTGATATTAATTTGAATAACCGTTCTCAAATGCAAAATGAGCTGTGTTTCGTTGTAGGTTTACAACCTACCAGGACGCGCGCCGAGTTGGACTCGTCGACGGTATATGGAACAGATATTTTAAGAGTATCACCCGTTAAGTGTTTCGTAGCCAGGGAAGACACGTTCTATTTTTATACTATAGCATTTGCACATTCTACCTCGATGGATCTTGGTATGAAATCTACGGCTTCCAAGGTAGTGAGTACGATTCCGATTTGAGTGACCTTAGGAGCATTCGACTTTGTCTTGACAACATCAGACATGTTCCAATTCGAGACGAGCACCGGACAGACGATCAAAGTGGATATGGGAACTGGAAAGTTGTAAAACATATTTAGAATAGGAGGAGTCAGGAGTCAGACAAGCTACCATTGCATTGATTGACCGTGTCAAGCCATCGAGATCGTTGCTCTGCGAAGCAGAGCAACGATGGATTGACACCGTCAATCAACCCGATCGTTCGATGCGAAGCAAGAATGCTAGTTTGCGCGGCGCGTCGAAGCGGCGAAGTCCTCCAACCACTGCACTGCACACTGTCACGCTCTCTTACGCCTGCTATGGAAATTGGGAGTTACCCAGAGGACTAGTACTACGTTACTGCTCAGTTCAATGCCGTGTTCAGCTAAAAAACTCAACTTTTCCCTGTGCAAGTGCTGTGACCTTGTTTTCCAGAAGCCCAGTTTTTTTCGATAATTCAATTGAACATCTACAACATTTAGACTGTAGATTAAATTAAATTTTAAGCAAATTCTGTTTTATTTTCAGATCTTTCGTTGAAAAAATACAGTCTGAGTTTCCTCAGTAAGGATATAAATATAGTTGTTGCTCAACATACAAATAAAACACTAATTTGAAAATGAATTGCTATAATATAATGTTTTTCTATCTGGCTTATTAACAAATCTTATTAACAGTATTTACAACTCGCTAAAATCGTGGTTCTTCTGTGGTCATAGGTTGACTTAATGTGGTGGGATGACTTAATAAGTTACTAGCGGTAAAATATATCTCACTTAGTTAACAAACGCTCCAAGTTTATGTACAACTATACAAGGATAAAAACATCTGCCACACCTCTTATAATAAGTTTATAAATATAGCATGAGCCGACAGCTGATCAATGATCATCTACAAGGGAGCAGTAGTGATACTATGATTTGCTGTAACAGATACTTCAGCTGATGTCTGACTCCACGCTCGGCAGTCCTGGAAACTGTTCCACTTTACTCTCTCCATCTTATACTCCAGTCTCAGTGGTTCCGGTGGGGTTACGGGCACTGGGGTGGGTACTTTCTTCTTGTTTCCAGCTCCTTTGTTACCTCCTTTCTTGCCTCCTTTACCACTGGTCGCGCTGGCTCTACCGTCGTCTGGTTGAGGGGTTTCAGGGGGCGGCTTTTCTGTTACGGTACACTGTGTCTTATCACTGGTTACTCCATCTGTAATATCAAGGTTTAGGTAAAATATTACCCTCCAGTACCTCAATTTGGTTTAATATCATCATCACCAATTAACTGACTAACTGGTCTCTAGGCGAAAAATCTATCCAATCTGCCAAATTTGTGTTCAGAAATTTTCATATTTAAAAATGGGACAGAAATTGGAAAATGTGAATTTTCGTTTTGTTAATTTTTGTGCAGTAAGCTCATATTCCATCTATAGTTGACTTACTAATTGGTTGCAAGTGAAAAATTCCGTCAAAACTGTAAAATTTCGGTCCTGGACATAGAAATTTCATCTTCAAAAACTGAAAATGGGACAGAATTTGGGACAGCATGATTTTCTGACCACAAGTTTTTCTGACCACAAATTTTATTTGAGTGCTGTGTTGTAAACATATGACTAACTAGACAAGAGAGGCTTCAAGTCAACTCTGATGTTTGCTATCTCGTTGTAGGTCGCAGGGTTGTCCACCCACTTGAGGATATTACCGTCTTTATCCTTTAGAGGTTTCGAGGATGTATCCACTTTCTTGCCCTTCTTCTCATCTTTTCCTCCTATTTTAAATGGGTAACCATCATTTTCTGATCACCACTGATAGTGATAACACTACAGATAGGGAATTAAACACTATTTACAGCATAACAATATGGCACATATTGATTATTGAAGTATATGCCAACAATTAGGAATATTAGGATCCAAGCATCACCTTTTTTCTTTTGCCCAGATGTAGGAGTGGGAGAGGTGGGGTCAGGTGGTGCTATAGCAGTAAAACTCTCTATTACCTTCTCAATTACAGTGAACTGCACTTCACCACCCAGGAATTTCTCCAACAATGTTAAATCTGAACACCTGCGAGCAGGGTGTTACAAACTATTCATCTTATCCAATTTGAATGTGATGTCAAAATCTAAGATTAGTTGAATAGAACGTACAAATATCCAACATGAAAATGATCTCAATATTGGTAACTACGTACCTGACTATGACTGGCTTTAAAAACTCCGAATTGATCTCCCAAGGTACAGCCTCTGTTTCGAACACGGCTCCCACTGGAACATATTCCTCATTTTCACCTGAAAACAGTACGATTCTCATAGAGCAGTAATTTCAACTCAGAACAGTCATTGAATTAGATCTGAATAATCAGAGATCATTTAAAATACGGACAGAATACATTAATTTCCAAAAATCTCGCCCAAATCTATCGCATTCAGATAGTTCATATTAGTAACATTGAAATCCAGAATGATTTTAACTTTTTAAGAGCTTCAGGATGGCCAATTCGTTTACAGATTTAGAATCACCTTCTTAATCCCAAGAAATCCGTGTGTGTGTGTGTGTGTGTGTGTGTGTATGTGTGGATGCGGGAAATTTCCGAGCGGTGATATTTAAAAAAACGGTAAGAGTTACGGGACTGGTTTTTTCGGTATAGTGCCGACAAAACTCTGAAGCATTTTTTAATCGGCCGGTGGTAAGTGGTTTAATTGATGGTTTTGTACCACTAATGTGACATAAAATGGCTTGAGCAGCATAATTAAGAAAACGGTAAGAGTTACGGGGCTTGCTCTCTCTGCATATGCAATATGTAGCTGTATAACTATAAGTAATCTTACTATATATAAAGCGAGACGATATATATATATGTAAAGATTACACAATCGATAGCTTAATGTGAATTTCGTGTTTTACTGTTTCACTGAATGTCTCAAATATATATATATTTATCCGTGCCATTTTACTGACACCACGGCATCAACTCTAACGCGAATTTCTGCAAAAACCGTCAAAGATATACAACTGAAACTTTTTTGACTGGGTCAAATGCTTTAATGGCCTTCAAATCAGCATGAAAAAATAAAAAATTGGCCAAGAAATAGGAGTTTTAGAGCCCAAAATTTGGTACCCCAAGTGGTGTCAAAAACGCGAATTAAATAGGTAATAATTGTTTTAGTCTCTTGAGTCTTGACACCATTTTAGGGTTAGACGGGTTCCTGCTAGTAACCATAATTAGGTTAGCGGGGTAAGATTCCCTGTCCTTTTATACTATAATCTTATTAGGGGAGGGGGCACTGTTTGCAGGGTCTGTTTGGACTGCAGAGAGAATTCATACTTTTATACGACAATTCCTATTTAATTCCTGTTTAATTCCTGTTTAATTCCTGTTTAATTCCTGTTTAATTCCTACGACAATGTATGCGTGTTTTCAAATATAATAGGCAGGTGTGTGAGGAGTTAACAAGGGTTAATTTCTAAAACGATTTAAATAAAAATGGAAAGTGGTTCAAGACGGGAGTGATGAGGTGTAATAGTCGGTGTTCGGACCTTTTGATCATGGAATGTGGTGCCTAATAATGACTTCATTACCCACGAGAAAGATAGTTTGAGATACTATTGGATACGCCGAAGGCCGGGTTACACTATTATCTTATATAATGACAAATAAATTCAATAATGGCAAATTAGATTAATGACAAATAAACTAGTCCAAAACTTCCTCTCAAATTTTTGGGTTTCTAATTTATTGAGACCAAAGCTTTGGCTGACGAATTTTAGGGAACCTGGTAGATCACTTTACATAAAAATACAGGATATCAAACCCTATGTAACAAACCAACTGGTGATGCTCCAGCTCCCTCAATCTCCTCAGAACCAGGAGAGAGGGGAGGAAGGTGGTCCTCTGATGTTGCTGCTGGAGTTAGGGTTACTTGCACTGTGGGAGAAGCCCCATCTTCACTGGTTTGGGGTATTATACCGCTGGTAGTTTGGGCCACTGAAGTGGTGCCGTCATCGGGCGAGGAGTCACTCACGAAATGGAATCTGATGAGGTAAGAGTACTTCTTTTGTATAGGATAGTGGCAATTTGCTTCGTCCAACGCCTGCAGACATCATTATGTCAACGGTTCAAAAACGCATAAAATCAGAAAAATCGAACTCAAAGATAAGAGGTATTCACCGCATCAACATTAATTTCAAACACCATCAGTAGTTTGTAATTTGTATATATATACCTAATAATGAGTTTAAATACTGGTACCACTAAATGAATTCAAATTAAATTGAACCTGGTTGCAAGTTCTAACCTCGTTCTCTGGTGGTTGTCGTAGGTTCTCCAGGATAGGAAACAGCACAGTGAATATAGCCTGGTCCCACTGGACAGGTTCTCTGGAGATGTTGGTGAAGTGGAGTCTGTCGTCATCACTGATGGAGACGTCGTCCAGTATCTGCAGCTGGGGGATCATGTCTAGCGTGCATCCCCTGTAACCCGGAGCCAACTGCAAATTAGATCAAGGTTAAGTCACAAAACAGCAAACAGTAAACATGAACATGATATTATTATTATATCAATCTTAATAATACCAAGAAATCTGTGTGTGTGTGTGTGTGTGTGTGTGTATGTTTGAAATTTCCGAACGGTTATACAAAAAAAAACGGTAAGAGTTACGGGACTGGTTTTTTCGGTATAGTGCCGACAAAACTCTGACGAAGCCAATAAGCAAATTTTATAAAAATCGACCGGTGGTAAGTGGTTTAATTGATGGTTTTGTACCACAAAATATGTTACATAAAATGGACTTAGCAGAACGGCAAGAGTTACGGGGCTAGCTCTCTCTCTCTCTCTCTGCATAATATTATGTACTATGTAGCGTATATATTACATGGCGTATATATTACATGGTCATGTAATCATGGTAATACAGGGTGGCCCATAAGTGACTACCCACACGCAACCTTTTAATAACTCACGTAATTCATCTTCAAATTGCACCAAAATTTCAGAGATTATAGATATGGGTCCAACTTAGATTTCCTGAAAGTTTTGTAAGCCACGCCCAATTACAGTGGGCGTGGCGTGACACTCCCTCTTTTTCACTATTGTCTTCATAAAATGAGAACGCTTTAAGCTAAGAACTCCAAATTTTTTGCACACATTTGGCTTGATAATTTAAAACTTTTCCCGAAGTTTCAAGTTCATTGTTTAAAATTTGGCTGAGTTATGACCATTTCAAAATTCATCGGATACGTGATCCGAGCACTCAGTCAGTGATCTCTGCACTCAATCAGTGATCTCGTCACCCAATCTGATCAAGAGTAAGGCGTTAGCGTGTATTAATGAGGTTCATTAGGCTTTACCAAACATACTGAGGAGATGACGACCTGATCATGATTGATTGGATACCGATAATGACTTTGCTAGACAGGAAAACACCAAATTCTTCGTAAAAGTAAGGTCCTAGGATTCCACGAGAACTGATGGCGCACCAGATCGTGACCTTTTCAGGAAAATCAGGAATCACGGTCTAAAAGTTGGTGTTTCTTTGTAATCCGATAGGCCCGGTTAGAAAGATCTCGCTTTAGGATTCGTTGAAGGGATGTTCTGCTGAGGTCTAAGGCAGGAGCTCGTTTTCGGGTGCCAATTTTAGGTGTATCCATCACGTCACAAACAACCATGGTGATGTTTTCTTCGGTCCTCGCAGTTCGTCTTTTGCAGAAAAAGTAAACTTGATCTTGTGATGCAAATCAAAGCAGCTTTTCCGGCAAGGGGATGGTCGGTTGAATTTCATTTGAAATTGTCGTTTAAGCTGAGGGCAGAACTCCCCATTCTCTTTGTTCAGGTAGACAAACAATCGTTGTTCCGCAGTATAGGGAGGATAGTGAACCATTTTCGATGATTCAATGGATAGTTCATTCCTTTTTATCGATTGTAAGGAACGAACCTGTGACTAGCAGGGCTAACAAGCCCTGCAACCAATCAAGCGGCGCATGTGAGCCAAACAGGCCATTAACCAAGTGCAGAGATCACTGACTGAGTGCTCGGATCACGTATCCGATGAATTTTGAAATGGTCATAACTCAGCCAAATTTTAAACAATGAACTTGAAACTTTGGGAAAAGTTTTAAATTATCAAGCCAAATGTGTGCAAAAAATTTGGAGTTCTTAGCTTAAAGCGTTCTCATTTTATGAAGACAATAGTGAAAAAGAGGGAGTGTCACGCCACGCCCACTGTAATTGGGCGTGGCTTACAAAACTTTCAGGAAATCTAAGTTGGACCCATATCTATAATCTCTGAAATTTTGGTGCAATTTGAAGACGAATTACGTGAGTTATTAAAAGGTTGCGTGTGGGTAGTCACTTATGGGCCACCCTGTACTATAAACTTATTAGGGGAGGGAGAGCTCAAACGGTCTGTTTGGACTGTAGAGAGATTTCATACTTTCATACGACAATGTAATGCATGTTCACAAATATGATAGGCGGGTGTGGTGCATGGTGTTAAGGGTTAGTTTCTATTGATTATTGTTTAAGATACTATCTTTTAATGATACTATCGGATACGTGAGGGCACTCCGAATAGAATTGCTCGCCTAATCCGGGTTTTGACTCAGCGGGTAATTACTCCTACCCTTTTTAACTGCGGCAGTGAAATCCCGGCCGAAGGCCGGGTTACACTAGTTATTATATATTCACAGTTTCAATGTAGCAGTAGGGTTTATTAACTACTTTTTTAAATTCGCTGTCTGACTGTTTATACGAGTTTAGGGGTCAACAATCAACATAGTTAAAATCAGGAAACCTGGCCCGATCAGAACCCTTACAAAGTAAATAAATCCAACTAGAAAACCAGGCCCGCTCAGAACTCCCAAGAAACTGAAAGTACTAAAATGAATGAATTTTCCAACTATGCTACTCAGAAATAGGTGCGAAGGTGCGACTAACTGTGATAGGGTTAGAGATGAGAGATAGGTTTCGGAGAGATATAAGTTGAGACAGGCTCTGTAAAGTAGGAATCACGTGACCGATCCTGTTGTGTGATAAATCCAGCGACAACAAGTTCGGCCTGAAATAGAGTTACAATTGTTATGTTTCGTTGGCCATTTCAACAAGATTTCAACTTATTGGTTTGATACCCTGGCTGTTTGTTATCGACAAATAAATAAGCTGTCTTAAAAATTACGACTAAGAACAGTACAGTTGTCAACAAATACATCATCTATGTCTGACATTTAAATAAGAACAGATGAGGAAGGAGGTGAACCCACCAGAAGTAAGGAGACATGTAGGAAGAGAGGTCAGTGAGCTGATTGTACCCCACCCCCAAGTGCTGCAGGTTAGGAGGCGGGCTTATAGCCAGGTCTGTCAAATCTGTAAACTTGTTGGCAAACAGCTGTAACACCTGAGGGTTCGTTAGTGATACTACTGAGAAGGTATGAACAATGAACATACTAGGTAAAAGAAGATTTCAGTAGGGAAATGTATACATTTATTGTTTGATGATTACCAGGTAAGTTTTAGGCTAAACCACCAAATATGAACTGAATGTTCTAAAGGGTTGGCGACAATTGACCCCCCGACAATTGACCCCCCGACAATTGACCCCCGACAATTGACCCCCCGACAATTAACCCCCCGACAATTGACCCCCCGACAATATAATTTAATACAATTAACCCTGACCCTGACCCTGACCCAGGACCCTAACCCTAACCCTAACCCTAACACTAACCCTAACCCTAACCCTAACCCTAACCCTAACCCTAACCCTAACCCTGACCCTGACCCAGGACCCTGACCCTAACCCTAACCCAGGACCCTGACCCAGGACCCTAACCCTAACCCTAACCCTAACCCTAACCCTAACCCTAACCCTAACCCTAACCCTAACCCTAACCTTAACTCTAACCCTAACCCTAACCCTAACCCTAACCCTAACGGGGGTCAATTGTCGGGGGGTCAATTGTCGGGGGGTCAATTGTCGGGGGGTCAATTGTCGCGGTACCGTTCCATTACACCAGAGCATAAATTTTCTTCATAAATTGGATACCGGCCAAATTGCCCGCCAATTATTTTCACTTTACTTGTTTAACTGCCTTCATCATTTCTCCTATCAAATTATCAACCGGGCCAAATTTTGTGAATTCAAGAATTTTATACATAATTCCTTTTTAGACTTACGGGACGAAAGGGCCCATGAGAGGATTAGATAGCAAGAAAGATTTAGATAATCAGACCCCATGATTATGATATTATCATGCCACATGGACCTTTATGGCAAGTACGCTCCATAAACAAATAAACAAACAAAAACCTCAACCGAACTTTTTCGTCTCTTCACAAATATGTTTGCAAACAATGAGAATGTAAAATAAATAACGCTTGGATAGTATTACCGTGAGGGATTTTGGAAGGTGAGCTCCCACAACGGAAGTCAGACAGTTCCCAGTCAAACTGAGCTCCTGTAGATTGGTAAACTTGAGCAGCCCTCTGTCAACCTCATTAATCTGAAACGAAGTTTTAGTTGGTTCTTTAACAAGGAAAAGCTTCTTACTGTAAGCCCCCAAATCAGACAGAATGACAGATAAAAACTGATTACGCCGACTAGTAAAGTAGTAACAACAGGGACACTTCTTCTAACGCTGAAACGCATTATTCCCATTATCATACTTATACCATATTATGTTAATAGTACTTACATTACGATCAACGAGTCTAAGAGTGGTGAAGTGCTGGAAGATAAAAGCCTCAGAAATAACTTGCGGCTTCTGAACGGCAAGTTGCCGGAGAGATGTGATGTTGTCGCTCCAGTCACATTTAACGTTGAATACCTCGCTGTGTGCCAGCTCCTCCAGCGAGAAGAGCGTCTCCTGGTTCACTTCTCCTGGGCAAACATTTGTTAACTACACAGATTTAGTTCAGCCACCGTTATTATCAGCCGCATCCCAACTACATCATGCTCTCTGCTATGAAAAGGTCTAGTCGGCAGGATTCCGGTACTACGAAAGCTTGTACGACTGTATTCTAAATTATTTGCCAATGACAAATTCAAAAAGGTTTGGACCACTTATTATCAACAAATTATCAGCGGAAAATCCCACTACCTTTCAAACTAAGAACAGGAAACGTCTGCCTGGAGAGGGCCCGGACAGCACTTGAACAAGAAACCGGCTCCTTGTTCTTCATAATGTAACAAAAACCGGAGACAACTTGCAGAAATCAAAGGTAGATACTGGAGCAGACAAGAGTTACTAAACAAGAATATTTCATTATGCAGAAATAATACAATGCTTAGTTTAACATAGCGTGCTTGTTGAAGATAAGTTACTCGGCGGAAAAATAAAGGAAACCACCTTACGGCTACGTTCTTATATTTGAACTATTTAAAAATGACAAAATAGATCAGAGGCTGATGTGGTCGAGCAACTTTAATATTTAAAGCTAAGCTGGTCGTGGTCAATACCATAGTTGGAAGCAAACATTCCACCTCTACTCATATGAAAATATACTGATACAGAAAAACGCGTGTTTCTCGACACATTTTCCACAGTGCACCTTTGCAGTTCGGACTTTAATATATTTACCACATTTTTCCATATGCTACATAATATACTGCTGAAAACATATAACTTAAGATCACACAATTTTCAATTGACTCAGCCAGCTTGGTATAAAATCACAGCCCTCCAAAAATTCTAATGCAGGATGAGCTAACACAAAAAACAACAGTATCATAACCAATTAACCAATGAGGACAATGGAAATGTTGGTGAAGCATAAAAATGAACGCCGAAGTACAGCGTAGAGTTGCAATAGTAATCAGGGTGGTCGACCTGAGCGCTTTGGTCGTGTATGGTAGCTGCTTGTGACATTAATATATCTGAACGGTATGCGCTTGTTTATAATACCCTGCAAGAAATACATACTACACTTTAGACAGTCGCTTAGTGGCTTTGACAATAGTTGGACTTGTCACACAGAGCTAGGTGTATTAGACCGGTTCATTTTACCAAAAGTTGTTCAAATAATTAGGGACCCTATCTTATTAGTTGCTCTATAGGGTCAGGAACAACCAAAATAATTTGTTTGACTCTAGTGTTTCGGATAATGTCGCCTTGGGCCACACCCATTTTTATGGCGTTTCTTATACAGGTAAAATTCTCTAAATCGTCAATTTAGTCATGAAGGAGTATGGAAGGAGTTCTAAATGTGTGCTCCTCTAATATAAACAGTAGAAAATTGTTAACTTTGGGGGGGGGGGGGGGGGGGCAACCATATTAAAGTATATTAAAATGTAGGATTTTTCCCGATTTTGACCCGGGGATATACTTTAATATACTTTAATATACCTACAATATACTTTAATATATCCCTATCTCCTTGGAAGCCTACATCAAAAATTGTTGCCCAAAATAAGCTTGATGCAATTCTTAATCGATTCCAAAAAGTTCTTGAAAAAATATTGAAAACTGATGGAGTTATTTCAATTTTAATGAAGTCATTTTGGCTAGTATTCCGAACCGAGATATTATGTGCAATTTTCCCAATTTTGTTCATGGAGGTCTTTTTACTTAGTATCCACTATATTCAACAAACACTGAGTTATATCTTTCACATAGAGTTAGTCTTATTAAAAAATAGTGAAATTTTATCGAATTTGGCAAAAGCGAATTTGGGCAAAAGCGTATGCCCAAATATGGGCATATTTTTTTAAGCTCAAGCATTAAATCCAAAGATTGAAGAGTGATATACAAACTGGTGTCTAGTGTCTGGTATCTGGATTTGGTATATCTTCTCCTAACACAGACTCAGATCAGGGAGGTACAGCGCAATTTCAGATATTAAACTTTATTTAAAGCTACTAGATCAAAGATTTACGATATGAACGACATCATAAATACTCAAAGTTTGATGACAAAATGGTAAACTTTGGCACAGTAATGACGAATGATAATAACTGTTAACAGGATAATTTAGAAGTGTAGAAATATCATATTCAGAACAATTATGACAACACTCACAGGTACCAACCTTTATCGACGTAGCCAGGGTCATCTTCTAACCGCTGTAATTAAATATCTAGTTTGGGTTAGGGTATTGATAAAATCACTTTCATTTCAATTGTCAAAATAACCAGTAAGCGAGTACCCAAATATAAGCCGGACAACGAATAACTGGAAAAAATATCAGAAAGGTATGAAACAGTGAACTAACCCAGCTTCCAACACCGCATGGGAACTGGTCGAGCTTCAACTTGTTGAGATCGCCATAGAAAGTTTCCAAAAGTTTTGCCATCGTCACTTCACCTTTTTGTAACCATACCGGACTTCTAAATACGAGTCGTATTTTAGAAATGAAGTAACGCACCTTCCTTGGCAGAAAATTTTAATTCGTACAGACTTTTGGCATTTTCTCAAACTACAAATCAAAGTTTCGGTTGCCACGTATGACCATTTAAATTGTTCATAGCTGTTTTTGTAGCTGGACTCCAGAGTCCTTCCCTTCCACTTTCTGTTACAGAAAGTTACACGATCAAATTAATTATATATTATTTTCTTTGGATGTGATCCAATTTATGCAATGACATTTTGAGTAATTACAGCGTGTAAGTTCTTGCATGTTGGAACTATTAAAGATATACTAATAGAGATATACTAATACACGTAGCTATCATGTAGCCAAACTTTGGCGGGTAGTATTATTGTGAACATGTGGAAGAGGCGTGTTATGTCGGTAACTGCGCGTCTTAAATCCTTAGCCGGTCGTCAAGGCGCGCGCTTGGCTGTGGAAGAGGCGGAAGCACGTTTTCCATGAAAAGTTACTACAAAATATTAATCGCGCCTTCCATAACCGACAGTCTTGAGAGTTTTCCCGTAGTACGGAGACCCTTTGTCACAATGTCACATCGTCACACGCGTATTTGTAAAACAACATAGACAAAATAGCATTCTGGCAATCTTTCAACAAAAGTTTGAAGAATAAGATCTAATACAATTTTTGGAATTCAGTTGTTTTGGAATTCAGATGGTCCACTTACAGTGACTTTCACGCTGTTGATTGTATCAGACCTCAAGGTACCAATACTGATAAAGATAAATCAATCCAAGTCAATCAACTGAAGATCTAATGTATTGAACAATCAGCATATATCAGCAATCAAATATGTTTTCAAGAATTCTAAAACAAAGGTCAAGAAGGTCAGAAATATTAAAAATCAAAATGGTCATTGAGGGGTAAACTTCTATCTCCTATATTTTTTTGAAAAATGACGCTATATTTTTACTTTGAACTGAAACCTTCTGTTTTTTATTGCCCTTTTTTGGTTGAGGCATCTTCCTCTTAGGGGAGGGCCCGGAAGAGGCACTGTCTTGCGATCTCAACTCTGATTCGATTTGTCGTTGTAAAGTGAGAGCTGTATGGAAATCCAAGTGTTCAGCCAGCTTTATCTCCTGAACAGGTTTGTTGCACACGGGGCAGCGTGTTTTGGAGCCCTCGATGGGCTGCATCATCAACTTAGCATCCTCCTCAGATAAAGAATTCCAGGAGTTCCTGTTGTTTTCTTTAACACATTCCTCTGATTCCGGAGATTCTTCAGATTTCACAGGTGGAGCTGCAGGTTGGTCTAATGTGACAGCGCTAGACGACGAAGGAACATCGCATCGTAGTTTCTCGAAGAATCCACCGAGAGTGGGCTTCTTGTCGCTCTCAGATTTAACATCGATAGAACTCCATTTCGATTGGGTAATGGACTCCTTATCCTCAACATGTTTACTGGAACTATGAGGCTCTTTATTTCCTAACATTGTGAAAATATTGTTCTTTTCTGGGGCAGGTACAAACTTGCCAGCACAGATTGATAACATAAAAACAACATCGCTATAAGCTCCATCTTTTGAGCTCAGTTTTTTATTAATACACTTGTTGGCACTGGCAACTAAATGACCCAAATCACACTTGACTAGAGGCATCTGAGTGGATGTGCTGCCCCCTACCTTCAGTCTCATATGTGTGGTGAACTGAGTGGCTATTCTCTTGTTATCTGTTACCTCAAATGCCATACGTTCTTCTAATTCCTCGGCAAGATCCAACACCCATTTATTCAATTCACTGACAAGCTTGATTCCTTGAGGAAAGTTTTTAGAACAAGCAGATTGTTTAACCAAAGATCGCTGTTTGACCGGTTCGTTATCTATTCCACGGGCAATATTGTAGATCCACTGTCCAGTTTTATCCCCATATGTTGCGATGAGCTCTCCTTGAGAGAAATTAACCAGCTCACTTGCCCACTCTATCCCTAATTCCTGCTGCATCGCGGACCCAAGTTTGCCTCCAAAGTTTCTGATCTTAGTAAAGTTTATGGTTTGATACAGTGCAGGGATGTTATCTGGAGTTATCATGGTTTGGGAGTCTGGTTTGTGGGTTCCAGCAGCCAGTTTAGCAACTATCTTGTTAGCTCCAATCCCTCCCGAGCATGTAAACTGAGTTTCTGATAAGATCTGATCCCGGATCATGTTCACGTACACGGCTGCCAGGGTGATCTTGTAATCGTAACTATGGTGATCAAGTGATGACACGTGATCAGACCATTTATCTATTTGCTCATCCTGGGTGCCCTCATATCCTGCCACAAACGTTTTGTGCAGCTTGGACTTGTTGATCGGTAACCCAATCATCCTCTTCACATTAGCTGTGATATCAATGAACGCCTCATCAATACTAGCACGCTCGAAAATGGTAGCATGTTTAGAAAGGATAGCCATGACTTCGCTGCTAGCCGCTCTCATCATAGTCAGATCCGCTTTCTTGCGGTGGTGAGGCATCACTACAGTTTTAACATCAGGGTTTATTGCCATCATGTCTTTCTTCCGCATTCCCCGTTTTATTCCGAGTTTGCGCGCCTCGTAGCTGACGGCGATGGCACTGCTGCCACCATCAATGGCGTCGCTGTATTGGAGGACGGCTAATGGTTTACCTTTAAGTTCTGGCTGCTGTCTCACAAATACCTGGGAAAATGGACACAATGAAATTGGAACCCAAATATTGTTGATGCCATGGCGAATCAAAATTATGAATTGACAAACGAATTATTGAATCTATAGTCATTAATCGCGCTCTATTAGCTAACTCCGAAACTAAAGATAAGACATAACCACTTACCTGGCAATAAAAACAGTCCATATCAATGAGAGCTATAATCCTATCTCCCTCATTACTTCCCCGCTCTAGCTCGGCCATCAGTCCACTAGAATTTTAACCTCTTATCATAGTCAGATTACAGGCTTCATTCTGTCACTAGCTTGATAAAGAAGGTAAGGTTATTAAGGTTTATGTGATATTTCGTTTAAAGTTAAGAAATGTCATCATACCTACCAATACTCAACAGAGCTTAAGAGTCGTAATTTTTCTCTGCAAAGTTCTTTTGGGTTTCAAAGCATGAATATGGATATTAAAACACGCGGATGGTAGATAAACATGAATTATGAAATCGTTTTTACAATGTTGTGTATATACAAGTCTAAAATCTGACTCTACTTTGTGATGTATCTGACAATTATGTACAAAATTCTACATCCCTGCAAATAAGAGAAAACAAAAAATATGAGATAATTTAAAAATTGCTTGTGAAAATAAAGCTAATGTTTTGCAAAAATTGTGGCTGATCGACAAGGACAGATATATCATATTGTGTTCTAAGTAAACTCATATTTACAGTGTGCCGCGGTGTAAATCTCTGATATTCTCAGACATAAACAGTTTTAATATAGAACTTAATTAACTTAACTTAATTAATCACCATTCTGTGACGGTAAATAAATAGCACATAATATCTCGTGTTGATATTACACCCATTAATAATCACAACCCTGAACACTTTGAAACCCAAGTATTTTACCACATTTAAATGTCACCCAATAACGCACTGACTCCAGTTCAGTGTGCCTCTAAAACTCTGTTAAAGTCTCCCTCCTTCTGGAGACTCTACTTGACGATAGTGGATATGTTGAGAGTATTGTCGCTACGAGTCTCATCCGTCGCGTGCTCCGTTAGGAATGTGCTGATGTGCTTATCATCGCTGCCTTCCTGAGAGGACTAATTGCTCAGCGTTAATTCAATTATGTGATTAATTAGATCGTTGAATATACAGTAACCGTAACGTGGTAAGGTTAGATAAATGATAAAAGACTGTTAAATTGCATAATTATTTTGCACCTGCTCATCGTACCCTAATAACTTAAATACTAGCCAATTTACCACCTGCTCCCAGCATGTCATTTTTACACTCCAAATATTCTCGATTCCAACTGAACCTCATACATTTTGGTCTGGAATGACCAAAATTGACACCATCTAAAGCCGAAAAGATAACCAGAAAAACGGACGAGCCTGTAAATTTTGAAAATTTCGGCACTGAGACGCTTTATGATCCTCCAAGCACGTGTCACAAAATTATAAACCACCACTGCCAGTGATTACTGACTAGCTGGTGCATAAAGAGAGATAATCGCTGATTCATTACAAGCTCAAAGATTATATTTCGAATTTATAGTCGAGTACCCTATTTCTCGTCCTATTTCTAAAAGTAGACACATAATTAGCCACATTTTTATTCTCGGGAGCTTTTAACAGTTATCTTTATAGCTTCAGCAGCTAATACAATCCTCGATAGAGATGTTTAGTAGTTTATATTTAAGGTAGATATAGGAAGGGGTGACATGTCCGCCAATGTCCTGTCCTTTTTCGATTCTATGAGACAACGGACATGTTTTTGGGACATTAGCGGACATTGACGGACATCGGTGGGCTCGGACGGACATAGACGGACAAAAATTTTGAGAATTTTTCGCACATGATTTAGACACAATATTTTCGGCTAATAATGAACAGGGTAAATCCATAAGACGTGGATGGTGGAGAAAAGTGGTTTTCAGAAAAACTTTGAAAAATTTTGACTTAGAAAATTTTCGGTCCGAGTCATTCTCGATACGTACCACTCGTATCGAGAGCTCCCGATTCCGAGCTCGTGTTGCAAATGGGAGGCATGCCTTCCGAGATCGCATTACCAGAGGGAAGCATCGAGTCCAAAATTGTGTATCGAGGGGTAGGTGCGAACTTTGATAATCGAAGAATATAACTCGGACCGAAAATTTATTTTAAGTCAAAATTTGTTCAAAGTTTTTCTGGAAACTAATTTTGTTCACGTTTCATGCAACTCTGTTTATTATTAGCCGAAACTAGTTTTTCGATTTTCGAAGTCCGCACCCTATCTTCGATACACAATTTTGGACTCGAGGGTTCCCCCTGCTAATGCGATCTCGGAAGGCAGGCCTCCCCTTTGCAACACGAGCGTAGAATCGGGAGCTCTCGATACGGGAGGTACGTATCGAGAATGACTCGGACCGAAAATTTTTTAAGTCAAAATTTTCAAAGTTTTTCTAAAAACCATTTTAATCTTAGAATCTTCGGTTCGAGTTTTTTTCCCTCAATTTTTAGAAACCTAAATAAGAAAAGTTGGCCCTTTTTGGCCTCTTGTCCAGATTTAATAGGGGGGGGGGGGGGGGGGGGGGGGGATAGGGGCGATACCCCCCTCCCCCGCTTCCTACACCCCTGACTTGATCCTGATTCCTGAACTTCGCAACTTATTCCCTCTTCAACCAGCATTGTGCTTGTTCATTCGTCACGCCTCTATGCCTCAACTGACTAATTTCTGTATCTATTATTCAGTTTAGCATTTGTTCAGCATCTGTTTAGCATCTGTTATGTCGCGTTTATCTCACAGACAGGTTGGGCATGATCGCTCTTATTCCTTTTAGGGAATTTATCACCTTTTGTTCAGAATAACCTATGTAGTATGTATTAACTAACCCTAACCTTAAACAAAGCCAACATAGTTTAGTTTTAAGTGTCAAGTTGCAGCCAAGCAAATATATTTCTTCTATTCAACCTTTTCAATTTTATTGTCTTTACAGTCTGACCACTGAGTAGATCTCGATGACAGTATTTACTCATTTTATAGTTATACTACCCCACTTACACACTTAAAACACATAAAATAGCAATTTTTTAGATATAATTAAATATATAAATATAAAGCGGCAGGTGTTCAGAAATCCAATGTGTTACGTAAAGAAACGCTCAACAAGCCTCAGATCACCAAGGCTATTCTGTGTGATTGGATGGAAACTTTTATCGACATTCTCGACAGTTATTGTTCACCGCTGTTGTTTTCAGCCACCAAACTACAAGATGAAATCGACCAACTGAAGGACGAAAAGATTGCAGATCAGAACACTGTGATTAAACTGCAAGGACAATTGCTTGAGAAGAAAAGTGAAGATTTGACCTCTGTTCAGACGACAGTGAAAAGCGAACTCAAAGCCTGGTCGTCAGTTGTGAAGAATTCATGCAGCAAGGCGCTAGTGCCTAAGAAAATGAAAGCTGCTCTGAAACGTGCCTCTGAGGAATAGGATCGTAGTCAAAATCTGGTCATCTACGGTCTACCAGAAAAGAGTGAAGAAATCCTGGAAAAGAGAGTGCTTGAGGTACTAGAAAACATAGATGAGAAACCTCGAATCGTTTCTTGCTGTAGGATGGGGAGAACTGTATCAGATGGAGGACCAGCCGTTAAACCTATCAAGTTCACTCTCAGCGGCTCAGATCATGTGCGGCAAGTGTTGAGCAAAGCGAGAAAACTAAGAGAAGTGGAGGGGTATGACTCAGTGTACATCAGCCCCGACCGATCAGCCGAGCAGAGAGCTGCCTTCAGGAAGTTAGTTCTTGAAGTTAAGCAGAAACGGGAATTGGAGCCTCAGCGAGTTCATGTTATAAGGAACAATAAGATCGTAAGCTCCGAGAAGGACTGATGGGATATGATTTTTTATCAACATATTATTTGATTGATTTTCATTTACCAGGGACTAGGCTTGTGCGGTGTGGTTTCGACTACAATTTTACTGCGTTCTGGTTTCCCTTTGAAATTTACATACATCTGTCCTTTAGAGATCGCAATCAGTTATATTTTGATTTTATTTTGCGCCACATGTTATATTGTATGTAAATTTTGAAAAGATTTTCATAAAAAATATGTACAATTAAATATAATATGTACGGGCGACGGATATCAAGTCACGTGGCTCCATACTGGGCTCTAGACAGTGACTCAGTTATAGACAGTGAATATCACTGTTCCAGAGTCCAGACAGTGGCTGCTTGCCAACAGCCCTGTCAAGCGCAGAACCGCTCCATGTGTTTGTAGATCACGTGATACCGATGTAGCGCATGTATTTCTAGATCTTGTATCCAAGTACAACAGTCCTTGACATCTCACTTCGCACCTCAAAATACATTTAAAACAGGATCCATAGGGTGAACCACATAAAACTTTTTGAAAAAGTACCACCCTGCCTCATTAGCAAATTTCAACAAAATTTAACAAAATTTAACAAAATTTAACCAAATGTAACAAAGTTTAGCTAATTTTGCTGTCCATTTTTGTCCGCTAATGCCCACTTTTGTCCGCCAATGTCCGCCTATGTCCACCTATGTCCGCCTATGTCCTGTATTGTCCTGTCCGGTCTGGTCCTTTTTGGGTTCTATGAGACAAGCGGACGTGGCACCCCCCCCCCGGATAAAAAGAATTTATAGATGTTTAGTAGTTTATATTTAAGGTAATTTCTGATTTCCTGTCACTATTCCCCCTTTTTTCAAATAATTATACATGGAACCCAGCAGGAATATCGGTTAGCCAATCGAGATGTTTCAACTTATGTTATATTTGCAGTTTGAAAGAATTAAAGCTGTCTGTTTGTCGGCAATGCATTTCATATAATATACAGTTTTGCTATTGCAGATTATACATGTTCGGTGTACAGTTATAGATTATTAGCATGTATGTATTATCATGAACTAAATTATTGTGTCAGCGTGATGATAGAATATTTGTGCAGGATTGACGACATAACCATGGACCTGACTCCAGAAATAACCGCAAAACTCATCAAAAAGCTGGAAGGAAAGCACATAATGTTGTCATACAGCTGGAATGTACAAAAGAATCTAGTAAGGATCACGTACGAATATGCGGAGAGTCTGGGGGTTCCTGTTTGGATGGACGTCAAGGGAGGAGTTACAGGGAACATTAACGCAGCGATGGCTAAGGGTGTGGAGGGTGCTATGGTTATATGCCCCTTCATGACAGAGGACTACGAGAGCTCCGAGTCCTGTGAGTTAGAGCTGAACTACGCTAAAGATCGCCAAGTTGTTATAGTTCCTTGTATGTTACAGGATGAGTCTAGGAACGGGGGTCAGTATAAAGCGAGTGGTTGGTTGGGGGTCCTTACTGCGGGTAAACTGTGGATCGACTTTAGAGGCCTGAAGACCCAAGGACAGAAAAACAGGCAGAAGATTGTGAAACAGGCGGATGCATTATTGATGGAAATTGCTAGTAAGCTTGGTGTCGATATCAAAGAGGGTTTCAGCCCAGTGAAGCCACCACTGCAGAAAAAATAGGAGAGGATTAGGCTGAAGAGGGAAAAATGGGAAATGAAAAAACCGGAGGAAAGGAGAAATGAGGAATCAGTTGAGCAGAACAGGGAGGACCATAAGATTATCCGCTGATTTTGGTTTGTATAGTTTAAAACGGACTAAATTTCGAATACTGGTCAACAGATTGTAATCACCCCTCACCCCTCACCCCTCACCCCTCTCCCCTCACCCTCACCCCTCACCCCTCACCCCTCACCCCTCACCCCTCACCCCTCACCCCTCACCCCTCACCCTCACCCTCACCCTCACCCCTCACCCCTCACTCCTGACAAACCTCTGTGAAAGCGGTTGGAGGACGAGGATGAGACTTAAAAGGAGCCAGTCTCTCTGGAAACTTCTTGTGACTGTGTTCGTGAGGTGCGAGGTACGCAGTCATTGCGGGCGAATCTGACGCGTATGATAGAGTTGCGTGGTGGAGCTGCGCAGCTTGGCGGTGCAGCAAATTCCTCATGAACACTTCATTCTTCAGGTTTATCATAGTGCTGTGCAGGACTGACAGTTTCTTCTCGTAGATACAGGTAGTACGGTCCAGCTCCTTGTTTAGCCGAGCTATTTCCGTTCTCTGCTCTTCCTGATTTTAGTTGGATATTGTTAGTCAGTAGAAACTTTAATTAAATGGTTAAAATATCTTGTAATCTAATGACCAATTGCATACCACGTAAGTCTCAAATATTTACAAATTCATGTTTAAATAACCTCGAGTTGCTGTAAATGTCTGAGGGCAAGTTTGCCACTATCCCGAGAACTGAGATCCTGTTGGGACTGAAGAAGACGCTCTGCATACTGTCGTTTCTCTTGCTCTGCCTGTATTTATAAATGATTGCTATCAATTGGAGATTAATTAATATAGCTTATATTATAAGCTTTTTATTTCAGACTTTCCGTATGACAAATATGTTATACTTTAAGCGAATAATTCAAATAGCTCATTTAAATAAATATAAAAATATGTGTACCTTGAGGCTATCTTTGCTTTGTGCAGCAATGAGCTCGTTTTCCTTCTTGAATTTTATCATCATTTCGGTTCGAGCTTTCTGGACCTCATCTTTAATGCGGGCTTCGATCTGATGTAATTACTCGTAAATCTTGAAGTTAATAAAGCAACACTTCGAAAGAGTATTATGTATTGTTAACAAATCGATTGAACTGAATGAAATTATCTCAAGATACAATATTATCAAATCAGAAAGAAACCATACAATCAAACATGCTTTCTATGACTATCGAAATTCCGTAAGAAAACTAACCTCAACATTGCTCGTTTTAGACATAACCTTCAAATGAAATTCAATAATAATTTGATCTAAACAATCTCAAAATTTTTATCAGAGGGCCCTAAACAATCATTCACAAAGAGTTGAGACACAGCCAAAGAACATGCTCAATGAATTTTCATGCGGTAAAATATTTCTAAGTAAAGAAAACTAACCTCAGCAGAAGTTGCAGTGTTGCCCTGTACTACTGGTACTACTGGAGCAGGCGAGACAGGAGGAGTGGGGGACGCAGAACTGTCCACAAAGGCCACCTTCTTCACTTGCTGGCTCTTCAGCACCAATTTCTCATTCTCATCTTTCAAAGTATTAGTTTCTTCTTTCAGCCCTTTGATTTCATGCTCTAAAGCTGTTTTCTCTTCCTCTGCTTCAGTTCTGACAAGTTTCAGCCTGGCTTCAATTCTCTTGTGTTTGCTCTGCACATCAGTCACCTCATCAGCTAGTCTAGAGCATCGTTTTTCTAACTTTTCTTTTTCTTCAACAACCTTGGTAAGGAACAACACTTGTTATTCTGGCTATTTTAACAGTTTAAATTCGAAATTATGTAATTTAAAGAAAAATTTGTAGTAATTAATTTTCAAAAGTTAAAAAGACTCAGTAAAGTTTACCTTTTTATGCTCATCAGGATCAATAGCGTTGGTAAGAAAGTCAGGCTCAGGAGGAGGTGGAGGAGTCTCAGCCTTGAGGCTGGCCTCACTGTCCTCTACTGAGAAATGTTCATCCAGGACCCTATTTTCTGCCTCAAGAAGCTGGGTTCGCAGGGCTGACATATTCTGTTCCTGCAGCTTCAACATCTTTCCTTGTTTTGAGATAGTGTCTCTGAGCTCTTGCAGCACAGACCCACTCTGACCTGTTTCTAACTCTAGCATCTTCATGTAGTAACGTTTATAGTCACCTGCGATCTTCTTACATGCATCTGCCATCTGAGTTTTGTAAGATCTTCTAGCTACTCTCATCCTTTCCTCATACAATTTTTCCAGCTCAGCTAATCTGAAAATTTCAAAAACATTTTTATTAGTTATTGTGCATGATACAACAAATACATCTATAAGCTGCAGTTGCAGTTGTGCCTTGAACTTTATCCAAGCCTAAAAATATAACGTCTCCAGATTTTTGTTTCCAAAATTGTTTTACTAAAAAACCCCAGTACAGTACAATACAATACCTATCATTGATTGAACAGTATAGATCCATTGCCCGACCTCCAACTTTTGCATCATAATCTGCATGTAGTAGCTGTTTCGCAAATAGCAAGTTGCGCTTGACAACAGTTATCTCTTTGAGCAGATTCTGAAAGATGTTACTTATACTGTAAATGTGGAGCTTTTTGAATCTTATTACTGTAAGTCAAAAAGTGAGAACTGTAATAATAATATAAACCAAAGAGGAGTCATCAAAACAATTCTGTTGACACGTGACAGCAATTAATTAACTAATCAGCTTCCAGAATTGTCTGATCAAACTCAAGAACCACAATCATGTTGCCAAAAAAGTTGGTTCACCTCCCCACCTGAATCCAAAAATATATATATAATAATGAGGACAAATAGTGTAATTAAGTTGGTGGTAACCTGGATGATCTTGATCATGTCATTCAAATCTGTAATTGAACTCTCCTCAGTCTGGCAAGCTATATCCTTCAGGAAATAACCAACATCATTGTTCATGGTTATTGAGTCAGCAAAAACTTGCAATAACCTTGGGTCAACTTCAACAAACCCAGGACATGTCTTCAGCCTTTCCATTGTATCCACACTGATTGCTGCCGGTGAGGTGGTTTCTTCATTTGCACTTTCAGACACATTGTCTGGCTGCTCTCCCATGCTAACAAATAAGTAAGTTCAGCAGTCAGTTTAATGATAAAGACGGTACACAAATGCTGGAAAAGCAATTCATGGTTCTGTTTTTAGTTTCAACGAGACAAGGCTGCCAGAGTGACTGGACACCTGTGTGCTGGTTATTCAAACGCTTTTGTCACATGTATAGAACTAATGATCTACATTGTGATAGTGCAAAGAATGTTTTGGATATTCATCAAACTGTGTCTCAGCCGAATGATAAAGTACATGAAATACGTCAACACAAACAAAAAGTTTTCTTGTACCTGTGTGCAAGAAAACTTCCTAAAATGAATGAAAAAATTATGCTTATTATTAACCTACCTTACTCGGGATTATTACGACGGGTTTATTAACGACCGGTTAAAATATGGTTCGGGGAAAATATGGCAAAATTGCTCAAAACCCACCACATTTTCCCGGTCGCCATTTTACCGGTGTCCAACCTTTCAATTTTAGATTCAAAAATTTTGTCTCAGATGTAAATTTCCTTATTAGAGATAAGCAAGTTTAGAAATTTTCGCATTGCTAAAACTTGTGAAACAAGTCGAATTATCAATAATTGTTGAAAGTAGACAGAAATAATGACTCGTGGTTAATCAAACTAGATGGAAAATAATTTTTAACATTTGAAGCGTAACAACCCGATCGATATTAAGATAAAGGGAGAGCTGTTTAGTCTCCCAATAAGTTGTAATCATCTTCGTTATCTTCATCTGGATCATCCCTTTCATCAGTTTTAATTAATTCAGGTTTTAATTTAACTGTTACTTTTACTTTGAGTCCTATTTCATTATGTAGAGATAGTCAATACCTAAGAAATTAAAAATTGGCCTATTTAAATCAAAAACCTACAACAAGTGTCCCAATAGTCTTCTTCAGTGAATATAAGACAACGATTAAAATATGAGCACCCATACCCCTTGGGAACCCTAAAAGCTGAGTAGGCGGGTTTATTAACGACCGGTGAAAATGTGGTTTGGGAAAAATATGGCGAAATTACCCTAAACCCACCACTTTATCCCGGTCATAATAATCCCGAGTAAGGTAGTTCAGGACAAAATATTTTCCCAATATCTGGTTTCAGGGTTCGTACAGTTAAAAAAAATTGACTATCTGTTAAATTAACTAGAGGTAACGATAACATTAACTTAGGAAGCAAGGGTTTAGCTGAATTTGTAAGCCACATGAAGAACTGTATTTTTTTGAGGGAAAATAATTAAGGGAAAAAGTTTTTAGTAAGGAGAAAGATAATAGGTGATACTTGTAAACTATTTGTTACAAGACCATCGACGAGTCCTACTCGGTGCGTGTCTAGGTAGGTTATCAACCTACAAGGAGTAAGCACAGAGGGTTGGATCTACGGGTCTGACCTAACTGACACATTATCATGATAACGAATTGATTAAGCAGGTCTGTGCGCCATGCTCAAAGCCCATCAACATTGGGCAATCCTTACTGGAATGTGAAGCCTGTTGAACAGCTGTCCGCACCAAATGCTTTAAGTGGCAGGATTCGGGCCACCAATACAATGGTTTGTGAGTGTGCAAGGTGAAATTCTGACTACTACCAGTGGTGATACATTTTCTAATGATGAAGTTGGATGTAATGATGAAACTATTTAAAAATTATAAACTTGTATATAATATTTCACCTAACCATGTGCTTTCGCTTGTTTCACAAGCGCCGGCCAGAAGGCACCGCGCACCACTGCAAGCGCAGGGGCTCTGGATAGAGCAAATATAATATAATAGTAAAAGCCAGGATCACCACCAACCACGTTTTTAGTTTTGGAACTAACAAAATCCTTCATATGCAAATGTTATGTTTGCTAAACGGTTCAAAAATTGCTTGAACTCTTTTTTAAAGGCACCGGATTCTTTAGCTGTTAATATCAACACATCAGGTGGACTGATTAGTATTTGTTGTATTTACAGATCCACTTCATTGAATTTAGAACAGAATAATGCGTTAATATCTTGTATCAAGAGCATCTGTAGTGAAAGGAATGATTTTGAAACACTCCTTTTAGGAGATTTTAATTTACCAAATGTTTTATGGGAAACTGGTAGCATAAATAGTAATATTGCTAGCAAGAACCAGTTTTTAGTTACTCAACAGAAATTCATGGATGTTTTCAATGACAGTGGTTTAACTTGGTATTTCACCAACGAGACAACTAGAAGACGGCTTGTGAAGGATACTCTCCAGGAGAGTCTTCTTGATCAGGTCCTGTATACAAATGATGCTCTTGTCAACGGTTGTAAGATCGTTTCTCCGCTTGGTAAGAGTGATCATGTTGGGATACTTGTCGAACTAGTTGTTTCGCCGGATACTAGCAAATGTTTAAAAGAGAAGATTATCAAACCTATATGGGGTAAGATTTCCTCTGAAGAGTTATTAAATTTTAGTTTGAAAAATATCGACTGGGATTATAGTTCTACCAATGATGTTCAAGATATGTGGGCTGAATTACATGGTAAACTGGAGACTGTTGCTGCAGCTGTTCCGACTGCTTCGGTTTATCTCGACAACAGACCTGTCAAGTTGCCATGGAGTACATCTGCACTTAAACGAATGAGAAAGAATAAAGATAAAGCATGGGCTGAGTTTGATATTAATCCATCTGATGTTAATTTTAGTTATGCAAGTAGCAAACAACATACTTATGAAGTAGCAGAGATTAAAGCTAAAGTTGTTTGTAGGTAATAAGCAATGAAACCCAGTAATCGTATAACCAAGCTGAAATGATCTATATCAATGTATAGTAAATAATACCTTTAGTCAATCTGAATAACTCACAATACTTCTATAAAGAGTAAAAGGGATAAACCCATAAACACTTGACGGAGAGAAAGTAACTCACCAAGAAAGCTCCGTCAAGGATCGTAAGCTCTAGTAGGTCTCTAGAGTCTGTCATATAAAACAACCATGCTTAAGGAAAACATGGGGTTACATAAAGATATTATATCCTAATATAGGAAATCTAGAGAAAAGGATATATGACAATATCCCGCCTAACAATATCCCGCCTAACAAAGTTAGAAAACTAGAAACGATTAAATCACCCAGAGGAAAGACAAAGCATTCTTGCTTGATTAAAATATTAAAATGAGATACTCAATATCTCTCACTATAAACTCTAACAAATATAAAAGCATTATTAAAAGTACACTCTCATAATATTATCAAATAAGTAGAATAAAAACCCCGCAAATTATAAGTTCATCAAATATAATAAATAAATCTCAAGTAGTCACCAATGCCAATTAAAACACAGCATCTCTTACAATAAATGTCTTTTACAATACAATACAAAAGTCCATGGCCAATTCAGTTTTGAAGATAGCAGAGTAGTAGAGTAGAGAGAATCATCCACCAGAAGCATACACAAAGAAAACTTACAGCAGGAGAGAAGAGCAAGACACTTCAGCCATCATACACACCAGATGACTCACTTCAGATCATCGGGCACCTTAAACAAGCCCAACTGTCCAATAAGAAGGTTAACTCAAGTTTTTTTCTGGGAAAGACAACACCCTCTCTACTCAACACGCCAACAGTCAAAACACCGGTTTAGAATAGGACCAGGCATAACCAGGAAGAATTAGTGTTGAATAGGATGAATATTCAGCTTCCCAGTCTGAATAACAGCCAGTAAATTTTCCACTGGATCTTTATTTTTTGGACTTTTGGTAAGACAGTCAGCTAGTTGCTGAGGATCAGGAATCCATACAACCTTGTTTATCTCCTCATCGTCTATAATCTTTCTGAGATATGCAACTTGTACTCTCATCTTTAAGTCAACAGATGGATTAGTAGAGTAGATGTTCTCTTTTACAGATAAATTGTCAGTTAAACCAATGATAGGAACAGTGTCTTTTGTCTTATTTTGAGATAGACATAGAGCGGTGATGATAGTCTCTCGTATCAGATAAGCTTCATCCAAACATTCACCAAGAGCCATGGCTTCTGCATAACTGATGGTCTTGGTAACTTTTTTGATCTTTCTTGAGCACCATGATAAAATTCCTGCACTGTCTCCACTAACGAGAAATATAGCGTGCCCGCGTGCACTTGATGTCCTACCAGGGAGCATATTAAGCGAAGCATCAGCATAAGCATAGATCTTTAATTGAGAGATGTCTTTAGACAAGGATGGAAGCATTATGGTTACCGTTTGCTTCTTTAATTTCTTGACAATAGCATTTAGATTTATTAAATCAGAAACTCTAGGCTTTGCTGCTTTCATACTGCTTTCGAGGACTTTGTAGCGTAGGTCAGGGCGGCTTTGAGATGTTATCCACTGAAGCTTGCCTAGTAGTTGTTGAAACTCAGTCTTCTCAAGATCGCTCAGTTCATAATCAGGTTGATTTCTCCTTCCTGAGCTTATACTTACAGGGCTAATTTTAGTTTCTTGGTAATCTATTTGATCAATAGTCACGGTATTATTAGATACAGCAGATTGTTTTATGTTCCAACCAACATAGGTGAAGTCACCGTACTCCTCTGTTCCAATCTGAAACTTCTCTTTCAATCTCCTTAAAACTTTTTCATGGAAGTCCTTATTTCCCGCCGCTAAGAAATCGTCCACATGCACATTTAGGAAACCCGAGAATTCTTCATTGGGTTGGTACACAAAAACTGACTTGTCAAGTGGCATCTGAACACAACCATAAAGAATAAGCTCTTCTTTCACCGTCATATACCATGCCCTGGCAGCATCATTCAGGCCATATACAGGCTTCTTGAGTCTCCAAACCATGTTGTTATCAGTTCTCTTCTCCTTTGGGGGTTTAACCAATATCAACCTATCCAAAGGCTTGGACTGCAAAAAGGCAGCACGTACGTCAATGCACAATAGTTTGTACTCAAACATATCATGTTAGCTAGCATGATGAATGTTCTTGTGACACATTTACCAGCTGTAGGTGAGTCAGCTACCTGAGGATTGGACTCCTGGAATCCTCTTATCACAAGGCGAGCTTT